TAAAGATGTTAATGAACTCAAGATTATGGCGCTTTCCTACATTAAAGTCATTAGGATCATGGGCTGGGGTAATCTGCAGGAGGCAAAGAGAAAGAGCAAAAAACCTTTACATCCCTGAAACATAAACTAGGAAAAGAAATTTAATGCAATCACTCGCAACTTATATGTTAAACTATACCTTCACAGCACCAGTCCCAAATTCTGGATCAACAAGAATTTCATCACATACTATACGAATCCTTCTTCCATTGAAAGGATGGATGGCATGTTTTCCATGAAGATGCCGATACCTCTCGTCATTAGGGTGCACAGCAATAGCAGTGTCACCAAGCATAGTTTCCACTCTTGTGGTGGCCACCACAATCTCACCTAAATCTTCCTCCAGAGGGTATGCAAAAGAAGTTAGAATGCCAAACTCCACAGGGTTCTCATATCCAGGAACCATCAGTAGTGTCCTTTCTTCTATATCAATGTAATCCACCTATATACACCAAGAAAATTCCATAAATGCTAAAAAAAATTAGGGAAAATATGATGGTAAAAGGAGAAGACTGACCTCAATGTCAGATATTGCCGTGCGCAACACACAATCCCAATTCACTATGCGATTATCCCTGCAAAACAAAACATACCGACAAATCCAGTAAGCTTACCAACCAAACTGAAGAAAAAGACAAAGATGAGAGGATGAGGTATAGGTGTATGATTGAATAAGTCAATTGTCATACACTATTATCATGATCCAATCCTTATCGCAACTGAACTATATAACTAAACAAAATATACACATGAAGTCAATCAAGAACCCGAAGGATAGAGCTAGCATCCACCACCAAATTAATATTAAACCTAGAACAACACAACAGTAATATCTTCTCCTCTGAAATTATTAACAGATATCCTATATATTGTTTTTATCAAGGAAGGTTAGATTCAGATTAGCATAGATCTCTGAGCTGGGAAACACACAATAAGCAAAGAAGTGTCCCCCTAATATTCTCCTATGCTGAGCATACCTGTAGAGAAGCCCTTGCTTATGAAGCCTTACAAAAGCCTCTGTCACAGCATTTGATCTTTTCTGATCCATAGTGAAGCACTAAAAACAAAGGAAAAGCAAAGGCTTTATCAAGAACACAGAGAGAGAGAGAGAGAGATATCATTCATGACTCGGTCTAGTAAACAACTTAAGCAATTCAACGAGACCACTAATACTTTGTTCCGAACCAAGTCAAATCAAGCTCCACGTAACTCAAATCCGTACCTCACGGGACCAATCTAGTGAAGCACCCAAACGGCGCAACTGCTGTAAAATGGTGCTCCCATGCTTTTTTTTCCATTCCCAAACCTTTCACAACAGTAAACCAACCAACAGTATGAATGGGTAAGAACGTATTCAGAAACTTTGAGAACATCAAAATTATTTAAGGGATCTATTTCCAGCTAATTGCAGTTCAAGCTTACCTCAGCCACAAATTCCTCACGACCAATATCATGTCTGGTTAAATGTTTTTCACTCATAAGCTTCTTTTCAACAACAACCTATAATAAGCAAATGGGCATTATCGCCAGCAAACGAATACATATGTAATGAAGATAAATCCAGATCCATGAAAAGCAAAAGTGCATGCATATATGTATGGTCAACATATGATTAGATTAATAATTCATTGTCATGGGCTATAAGAAACTGCTCTAACAAGAAAGGGTGTATCCCCTACATCCAAAGTAAGGCCAGATATACAACAGAATAATATACTTGTGGCACAAGGGTTAAGTTAAATTTCTGTGAAATGCTGGAATGAAAGCAATGCAGTAACTACTTTTGCTCTAATGGTAATGTAATATTTATAAAACTTAACCATTTGCTTCCATTCCACCAAAAATGAAAAAACAAACCTCAACCATTTAGTAAAGAAAAGGAACACAACCTGTGTTGCTATCCCGGCATGATCCATTCCAGGCACCCACAAGGTATTGTAACCGGACATTCTACGCCATCGAATGATAGTGTCCTGCATATAGCAAAACGACATACAATTTTCTTTAAACACCCTAACAGATGGAGAGCACAAACTCAGGAATTTATGTAAAGATGTGACCTCAATAGCAGCAGTAAGAGCATGGCCTATGTGAAGGGTACCAGTCACATTGGGGGGAGGCAAAACCTGCAATATATGTGAAACCTGGTTAATCTTCTCACACTTTTTTTCTGTTTAACCATATCAATGAAAACCCAAGAAGTTAGTTTGGAGCGGTATGACACTCACAATCACAAATGGAGGTTTGGAGCTGTTAGCATCTGCCAAGAAGAACCCCATTTTCTCCCACCACTCATACCACCTAAATCAGCAAGTATAGAAAATATGAAGAAACTAGAAGTACAATTTAGGGGAGAATTAATCATGAAAAGAACAACACACTCACGATTTCTCTACAGCTCTTGGATAGTAGATTTTTGTCATTTGACCAGCCATCCGTTTCTTCTCTCCAAATGGAGTCTCTGGGTCCTTTGCATTTTCATCTTCCTCATCATAAAGCCTCACAATCTTCTTTTTACTCGTCTTAGAAGTACAAGGACTTGCTTGTTGCTCCTTGATGATTTAAATTTATTTTTTTTAAATGAATAAATAAATACACGTTAGCATTTCATCATTGCATTGATATTCTATGATAATGTGACAAAAAGCTGCATCTAAGACCAGATTGCATCTACAGGTGCCCTGGGGCCAAAACAAGTTTGCAAGGACAGCCAATTGGAAATCAATAGTCAAGTTTCTAATCCTCCGATCAACCAACAAAAGAATTATACCATTTGATTCCTTTATCAGCCCAAAAATTGCAAATAGTATAAAATAATATAAAATAATCATGGAAGGATTTTACCATGAATCCATCATTGATTCTGTAATGACTTATTACCACCCTTTGCCAGGCATGGAATCGAGAGGGTATACAATTTTTTTTATTCACTCACTTTTCCATTGAAGAATTGCTAAGTTCTTCAAAATAAAATTGACATACAAAGATAAGACAGGTTCTTTGTTATCTTGGAAGAATTGTTCAGAAAACTATAAAGAAATTGAAAAGAAAACCAAACTACATGAACCGCCATTACCTGAAGCTTGAGAGCTTTGTTTAAAGCTTTTTGCTTTTTCAACTCTTTCTCTTTTGCCTGCCCAAAAACAAAAACGAAACATATAACTTCTTCAGTAAACAACACTTCACCAAGCCTAAAAGGCCTCAGCCAAAAACTAAAACAAGCAACAGAGAACCTTTGTTTCCTTCTTCTTCTTCTTTATGACATCTGCCTCTTCAATTCCGGGAGACATCAGTGGCATGACGACGAGGGCGGAGGCGATACTGAAGGAGGCGGCGGCGATGGCGACGCCGTTTTCTTTTTTTATTTTTGTTTTTTAAGGAAGACGGCCGGTGTTTTTCCTTTCAATTTAGGGCATGTTTACGTATCAGTAATGGGTATGGAAGGAAAAAGAATGATTTCCATTCCTAACTTCTCTTGAGTTTACTTGCAATCAGGAATGAAAAAATAAGTGGGCCCTATCTCAAAATCCATAATCACATTCCCTCAAAACTAGGAATCAGATCAACTAGGGGGAAATAGTCGATACGATTCCCATTTCTGTTTTCCCTTAATAACTTCCAAAAATATCCTTATCACTTTACCATAATTCTAAAATTAATTTGGATTCTGATTCATGCAAATTATTAAACAATAACAATGAGAATCAATCCCATTCCATTACTAATTCCATATGTTTAGCAAACAGCTTAATGAGAATGATTCTTCCCATACCGATTCAGTAGTTCTCTGATTCCTAAATTCTTTGATTCCTTAGTTTCTCCATTACTGATACGTAAACATGCCCTTAGTGTTGTTAAACAAACCTTGAAATTAACTGAGGAGTAACCTATGTTCTAATATTTATGATGTGTTGAATTGGAATTCAAATCAGGAATTGAAGCTGGAAGATTCCTGATTCTACTTCCTAGTTTTGGAGGAATTTCAGGCATGTTTATGGGTATCTATATATATAAATCAAAATGCAGAGAATGGTGAAACATTCAAATACTAGAAACTGTCATTGGTTAATCCAAATATTAAGAATTAAAATTATTAATTAAATCATGTTAATATGGTAAATTCACACTTTTTTATTTAAAAAATAAAAATTTAAAGAAAAATCAGATAATGATTCCTATTTGTATAGAACACAACTACCTATTATCTTTTTTAATTCTAAAATAAATTTTTTTTTTTTAAATATCTCTCATGCGCGGAAACACGTGCGGAAAGGATAATGGAAAGAAAGGAAATGATTTCCACTATTGACTTCTCCAATGTTCTCAAAACTAGGAATCAATCAACTAGGGAGTAGTTCATCCAATTCTCATTCCCTTCCTTTTTTCCCTTACTACCTTCCAAAAATACCCTTATAACTATACAATAATTCCAAAACACCCCAAGGCTTTGAAAAAAATTCAATGACTATTTATTAAGGGTTAACTATTGATTTGCCTCCTAAACTTATACCTAACTTTGGATTTATCTCTTATCATTTTCGTTAAAAAAATTAAGGATATGAACTTCTTTTTTCATCAATTTCCCCTCAACGTCTAATCCTCAACATCTCTCTCTCTCTCTCTCTTTCTCTCTCTCTCAATTGTATTTTCACTCAATATTATCGCCCCCTCCTCCTCATCCAAAGGATACAACCCTTTCCTCTCCCATTCATACCCACCTCCACATCCCCCAGCTCAACCACTCGAACCCCCTATCTTTCTCTTTCTCTGAATGGTCAATGAGAGTAAAGGAAAGCTCATATAGAACCCATAAGCATGATCAGAATGTTTTTCTCTGTCTCTTAGCCTATCAATGGCCAAGTCATATGGGTATTTAAAATAATAAATGTGTATTGCTTCAATTGGTGAAAACAAAACAATCGTGTTAAGTTTTTGAAATTAAAGGTGGGTGTAAATGGCTTTGTGAGTTGGAATTAGGGCAGTGGCTAGTGAAATTGGATGGAATTTGGGGGAGGAGGAAAGGAGGAGAGAGAGAGAGAGAGAGATAAGGCGTGGTGGGTTGATTTTTGTTAAAATTAATTTATTTTTTGTATTTTATTTTTTAGTATTTAGTTATTTGTAAAGTATAAATTGATCAATTTGCCCTTATATTTAAAGGCAAATTGGATGAAATGTTGATAATTTAGACAGCAAGGGGAAAATTGGCGAAAAATAAAAGTTCATATCCTTAATTTTCTTAAAAAAAAGGATATAGGTAAATCGAAAGTTAGGTACAAGTTCAAGGGGCAAATCAACAATTAACCAATTTATCACCTTTGGAAAAAGCAAATTTTTCCCCTTTTCACCTTGTTGCTAAACTCTACTTGTCTTGTTATTCTTCTTATCATTAAGTCATATTTGCTTTTCTATTATATATATATATATATATATTATATTCCTTATATTATTATATACTAATTTTTTCATCACTTATCATATAGTATCTTATATTATACATTAGTTATAAAATAAAATATAAATCAATTTTTGTTTTTACAAGTTGCTTAGGTTAAAAATATATATTTAAATGTGCAGGGCATTTTTGTAATCAAATTAGTTTAGGTTCTGATTCATGAGAATTAGTAAACAATATCAATGGGAATCAACTTCATTATTGTGCTGATTTCATATGGTTAATAAACAGCTTAATTGGAATGACTCTTCTCCTATGGATTCATTACTTCCCCCGATTTTTTACTTCCTCCATTCATGGTAAGTAAACAACCCCTCAATTCTAATCCTAAAAAATAAATAAAGAGATCAAATAATCGGAACCTAATTTTAAATTGTATTGGAAATCAAAATTTTAAAACAAATTTACAATTATAAGAATTTTAATATAATCAAGTTTTTAATATTCGAAAGCAAATTTTATCATATTTGATAAAATTTACAAATACAATGTTTCTAACAGGTGTTATTCTCTCATTCTAGTTGTTGAGGCCCAAAATATTCACGGTTCGGCCCAAATAAATTCTCGGCCCAATGTGATGCTTTACCAAGAAGAAACCCGA